CATATGTTGTCCTAAATGATGCCAACAATCTCACTGTTTCATTTTTTTCGCAGTAGAGTTATCTTTACTTCCAAATCGTCAAACACGTGTTAGTTCCTACCTGTGCTTAACAAGAAGTTCATTATAAGATGCATACCTGAGAAAGTCCTGAAAACTGCTCACTGAGGTGTGCCGCGGGAGACAGGAAACTAGAGGCGAGTGCCATCGCATACAAGTGTCCCGAGTGGGCAACAGACATCGCCAAGTCTGAGGCGAGCATATTAATGAGTGTGCGCAGACGTTCAAGGTCGTTTAATGTAGGTCTGCAATAAATTTTGGACAAAAGTAACCAAAGTGTCGACTTCTCATCATAACATTGAGGCAGGACTTTAAATTTAAAGCACAAACCTGGAAAATATTTCTCCCCACAAGTAAAACATGTGAGGGAGGTTCTTGTCAAGACAGTGAGAGGAAAAGGAAAGACCCTGTTCAAACGCTTTCATGTCACTATGGTGAGAGGACACGTGTGTTGATAGGCCCATGCCTCCTGTTCTCATCTCTATCAGCTGAGACAGTTCACGGTAGCTGAGGTTACCAGCACCCATTCTACAACCAAGAGAAGTTTCTAGTTAGAAAAAAAATACACACACACATAGTCGTCACTTCACGAACTTCGCCTACACATCGCGTTTATACAAGAAAGACGAAAATGTTAGTTCACAGTGTGACATCATTGAAGTACTCACTTGGTTAAAATGAAGCAGAAGAGAGGCAGGTATTGCCGTAAATCCTCTGGTATATCGGTAATGCTGGAAATTGCGCGAAAATATGTAATCCCATTGGTGGGTTGTTCACAATACTGCACAGGGACTCCAGCTGGAAGCGAACACACGTCACAATAATTTCAGTTCCAGATTCTACCTGTATTGTGTATGGTGTAAGTGGTTCCTTACTTACAAAAATACCTTAACACAACCTAGAGTATTATTATTCTAAACTTACCGGATATATAATGTTCTAACTTAACTGGCTTAACTTCAGAATCAATATCTGTAAATAAAAAAATGATTGGAAAAAAAATGATTGTCAACTTATAGATGAGTAAGTAAGGAAATTTTCTTGACACTTAACAGAAATAAACAAATGAAAAGAACCACTTGCCAGAAATCGCCATCTTCGGCAGACAGGACACATCTTCAACAGTATTCTGTTGTTCAGCCAGTTCAATACCTGACAATGAGCAAACAAAGAGGATGTGAGCCACTACACTCGACTCGGAAAATGAACTAAGAAGGGGGTGAGATGTGGAGATCATTGAACTGACTTTGAATTAAACTTTTGGTTATGGCAGGCCGTTGTTTATCTTTGTTGTCTACTCCCGTTCTTCAACTGTGGGTTGAGAACCTCTTCAGTAGCTGGAGGAACAAGATGTCAAACCTCACAAAAGTTGCTATGGGGTGATGGCTTTTACGGCTAATGGTTCAAATTTTGGCCATTTTACGCCTAACGGCTAATTTTTTTGGCCGTTTTACGACTATCGGCTAACTCCGTTGAGCCCCCCCCCTCCCCCGTATAATGACTTGAAAAGATACGCATACCTTTTTGATAAATGTTCCTTTTATCGTCTTCAGATAAACAACTAACTTTACTTTGTAACTTTTCTTTTTCTTTCTTGTTCAGTTCTGCCTCATACTCTGGCTGTTAAAAAGTTAGAAAGAAAGCAAAATTTGAAATTTGAAAAAGTTCTAAAGATCTCTGGCTGTTAATCTGTGTCTATTGATGAAACTTGTATCGCTGAAAAACACTTCAACCGTACAAAGAAATGAAAATATCACGGAAAAAAATGCTGATTAAATTTTTTCTCCAGTTTTAATTTTGTGAACATCTATGAGAGTATATATGTTACCTACTCACAAAAACATTAGTTTCCAATGAATGAGCTGAAAAACACATTTCCCGAAGCAGTAAGATGGCAACATTACCGCCAAATCGTTTGTTGAAATTCTCCCTGAGTGAGTGAGTCAGTATTCTTGCAGGTTTTATCAACGATAAGGTCGGTTGATAAAGCGCCACCAAAGCGGTACTTACATCAGGATTCATAACAAGTGTCAGGCAATGTGGGTTGTCCTTAAAACACTCCTTCACTTTTTCTTGTAGAAATGGTCCGTTTGCTAGTTTTTCCTGAAAGCAAATTAAACTATCAAATGTTGTTGAAATTGTAGGGGAACTGAAACGATCAATTAAAGGAACAAAACAAAAAAATCGAAAGATAGGAACTTTAGAAGAAGAAAGATGGTAAATTTGTTTCGCACACAGCACCACACATACCTTAAACAGCTGTACATGGTCATTAATCAGCAAATATTCAGATGGATCGGCTCCGTGATTCCATGCTGACATTATTCCCTGAACGAAACATAACATTACGAAGTCTTAATTAACAAATTAATCAAGTTACCTGAGGCATTTCAGTACACATACAACAAAACAAAACAACAACAACAACAACAACAAAACAACAACAACAAAACAAAACAAAAAAAAATAAAAAAAGACATCTGATTACATCTAGCAGGATAAATGGCGTACGGTTTGAAAAAGGAAGTACATCCAAATCCAGCCTAACGATTCTCAAAGTACAACTCATTCCAGTTCTTTCAATTTCGATTTAGTTGAGCCAAAAAGAACTAGAACTAGTATCAGACGCGCAATAATAAGAGAGAACAGGTTCAAAGTTCCTTTGCAATAACAACAATAGTTACCAGCTACCAAAACATGAACACACACTATCCTGACTCAGTTCATAATATCATGAAAAAGATACAAAGAATCAAACATTCAGCCGTTTTACTACCAGCATCAAAATAGCAATTCTCCTCACAGTCATAATTGCTCTCCCAACGATTCTAGCACTGAGAATTTGGTGTAAAATCAACCTTAGATCCCCTTGTTACTATTTCTTTTCCTTCTTGAAAATGTGCTGATATTTTACAAGAAAATAATTTTTTATATATATATTTGCCACCAGAGAACCACAAATACCACACTTTATAGTTTGGAGAGTAATGGCAAGGAAGCCCCCATGGAACCATGGGGCTTATAAAATACAAGCTTCCTTAACTAGTAGCACATTACTTACAGAAATGGAGCAACAGTGGCATGAACCACAAAAATTAAATAATGAAAATAACTTACAACTCAAAAATGTGAGAAAAAACCTTTTTTTTGGTCCATTGCAGGTTGGAGTAACAGGGCTATCACAATATTTACCGTGATGAGTCCTAGTCCAAAGTTACTGCTCTGATGTTTTGTTGCTAGCTCCACCCTGTGAAGAGCTGCTTCCACCCTCTCAGATGGAAAACCTTCCCTGCAAACAATGCACAGGTATGTTGGAGCACATATCATGTACTTTTGACTGAGTTTGGTTGGGTCTGATGGGAAAATTTTTGGCCCTCAGTCATGATGAAAATTCTGTACAGCTTAAATAGGACTTGTTGACATTAGCAAGTGGTCCCAAAACAAAATGGTCAAGAAAAAGTTCAAATCTCTTGGCAAGTCTCTTGGCTTATTAGTTTTAGGACTGAGGGTTTAATTTCAGTCAATCTTGTGCTTTTTAAAGCTATATACTATTTATGATTTACTTACTCAATAACTTGATCAAATGTCTTGTGAATTTGTTCAACAACCATTGCATAGTCATCTTTCTTGATGCCTTGAAGACCAATTGAAAACGAAGCATCTCTTGTTCCATTATCAAACCTTTGAGAAATCCACCACGTGACATTAGAAACATTAGAAATCTCTCTCTTTTTTTTTAAACAGAATCATATTTATTTTGCATCACAAAACAATAACTAAAATAATGTAAGGCATTGAACATTTACAGTGAACAGCAAAAAGAAAATCATTCTTCTAATTACAGCTAAAAAACATCATAGACTGATATATTTTTTAAAATATATTTGCAACAAATAAGAGTGAACTTGTTACCCTTTTTTTAATATCCAAGATCTTACCCTCAATTCTCATTTCTAGTAGCTACAGATTTCTTTGATAAGTAGTTACAAGAATCTGTCGCAGGATAACATATTATTACAACTTAAACATTACTGACTTCTCAGCACTTGCAACATGCTCATAGAAAACTTTTAAGTTTAAAAATTTATCAACAAAAGAACAATGATAATAAACTCTCCTTTTATTAAGCTCCACATACGCTCAATCCAGTTTACTTCCTAATATAAAGACTTGTGTTTAAGAGTTTCCTGGTTCACCTTCTGTATTTTGAACCCCACTACCACACCACTCTAATCAGCATGTTCAACTAAAGTTTTAAGTGGTCCCCCCCTAGGGGCTGTTAATTCCACTTACCCTGCTCCTGGTGAGTAATCTGAGCCAATGTTTGGTGTGATAAGGGAATTGTAGAATGGTGAGTTTGGACCACTCATTAAAAGCGAAGATAAAATGACCATGGAGAAATTATCAAATGCATCTGTGGTTCTGTGGATAGGACAATAATTATCATAATGTGTATTCAGGAGGATGGAATTAATATCAAGTCAACTTCAAATTATATTTCATGGTTTTTATCACAGAATGTGTTAGCAGGCGAAAGGTGTATAGTGAAAGTAAAAAATTCTAAAAATCTAAATAGATAGTACCTCAGGTCATCAAAATTTAGCTGAAGAATTCTGTGTAATAAGCCAAGAATTTTCAGTCTTGATTACTAGTGTGCACTCTATCAAGTGGCTCTCTCTACTGAGAGGCACAATGATTTGCTTATAATAAAGTAAGCAACATGTATCTCTCATAGATATAACATATCTAGAAAATAGGCCGAGTCTGTTTAAGTGAAACAACAATACATTTTTATGACTTGTTTTCAGATGTTCAGGTCTCTTTCAGATGACTTCTCTTGGAAACTCACAAGTATTTTCTTAGATCAACAAACACTCCTTGATCAAGACCAGGACTTAACAAACCTTCCTGTTAAATAATGTAGTCCCACTGTAGTTTGCTTGTCAGGATTTGCAGCCATTGGATCAACAGGGCAGGTTACATGTTTTTCTCGCTAAAAGACACAAAAATATCATAATCAAATATTAGTGACAAAGTAACTGTTAACAACAAAATAGGAAAAAAATACATTCTCACCCTTTGGTTATGAACCAGCAGCACTAAACTTAGCTGCTCTATTCTGCACCTATAAACATTTACAAATACTGGAGGAATTATTTACTAATGATGGAAAAAAGGATAAAAACAACAGAAAGAAAGGAAAATTGGAAAATGGAATGGTTGAAAAGAATGGCTGAACAATTGTCTTAAGAAGGAGCCAAAAAAATTGATAGAATGATATTTGCAACAATCCATTCCCATTGCAGAAAACTAGAAGCACCCCCCTTACATAGCGATCACACTATGAAATCAATTTATAGCAACTCTCCTCTTGTAATAAATTTAATTTTTCATTATTGATACTTACAGGTTTTAACCAGCGTGGTTCATGTGGAATGTCTGTTGTTACAGAGATCTTGTCAAAATGGCGTAAAACTTTAGTCTCAATATTTTCTAGATTTTTCTCTATGGGGAGGTCTCCATAGGTATAGAACCTGGAAATTCATAATTGTTACAATGATTAGTTTTTCATCAATTATTTATGCTATCCTTAATGAAAAAAAAAAAGGAAAATTGCCACAGACTTCAAGTGATAGTGTTCAGCTACATTTTAAAACCTTTTCACTTCCAAGATCTCATTGGTAATTCTCCTTACTGTCTCACATGCAATTCTTAAAATGTTACTTGGGAGAATTTGATATTAGATCAACCAATAATTCCCTTGTCAATATTTTTTCCTTTATTCTTGACACTTGTCTCCTTGTTATTGTATTGATGTTGTAAAGAGAGATTTCACCTTGGTCACTCACAGAAGTTAAAATGGTAACTATTTCAACAAAGTTAAAAAAAATTCATCATGTCAAATAATGAGTTTTAAAGATGATGACATGCAAAACAATCAGCAACTGAGAAGACTACCAAATTGAATAAGAAAAAACTAAGGAAGGAAGATATACTGCAGTCCATTTGGATATTAAAAAATACATTGTACCTGGAATTACTAGGATGATAGTGTGAGGCATGAAAATCTTTTAACTGTTGCCACTAAAAAAAAGTCAAAAAGAGAGATCACAGAATGTCATACTTGCAGCATGGTAATTTCAGAGATAGCCAACTACACCCTCACATTAATTAACTAACTAATTATAACATTCCATCCAGCTGAAAATGACTAATCTTGTAAGAGAACAGAGTTGACATTATGATTATAGCATTTTCGTTGGTGAGCCTTAAAAAGAGTCAAGAACTGTGATACAGGATGGGAACAACAGTACACTGTAAATCATACTTACTGTGAGGTCAGGAATACACAGTGGATCCCCTCCACTATTGTTGCTATATGTGTGACTGGGTAATAAGTTGCTTTGGGCATGATGAACAAATAACGACTCTGGTGTTGACTAAAGAAATAAGAAATCAATTTTTATTGAATATTTAATTCCTTTCCAGAAAAAAGTTGCACAGCAGCTCCACAGTTAGAATAGTTTACTTATTCAGACACATAGTCATTTATCTATTCATTCATTCATTCATTCATTCAGACTTCACTTGTTTCTTTCAATTATCTACTCAATTAAGGGTTTGCAATCTCATTCATCTCAGTCAGTCAAACATTCAATCAGTCAGTTAGACAGCTAGTCAGTCAGTCCATAAATCGATCAATCAGTCCCTCAGTCTGACAGTTGATCAGTAAGTCAGTCTGTTAGTCAGTCAGTCAATTAGCTGATGAGTAAGCCAGTCCATTCCATCAATCTTACCCTTGTTTCACTCATTCAGATAAGCTAACCATTCAGTCCTTTTCAAATCACTCACTCACTAGACACATGTACACCTCACTCACCCACTCACTGAACACACGTACACCTCACTCACTCACTGGACACATGTACACCTCACTCACTCACTCATTGGTCACATGTACACCTCACTCACTCACTCACTCACTCACTGGACACATGTACACCTCACTCACTCAC